AATCTTCAGGCAAAAAAGCACAAGCAAAAGGGAAAGGGGAGCAAAGGGAAAACAGACCAAAGCAGCTCATCAAGAAATGGAGGAAGGGGCTGGGGATTTAGCTCAGCGGCATAAGCACCTGCCTTGCAAACAGATGGTTGTGAGTTCGATCCCCAGTACCGATTTAAAAAAAAAAAGAAACGGAGGAAGATTTACTCATGGAAAATGGGGGAAGGAAAACCAGGGGAGTGAGGCCTCTGCCAGAAGCCGAGTCCGATCAGCCACACGCCGGGGGCCTCTCAGGCATCTCTGCTACCTTTCTGTGCAATCCTGATGAATATTTCCATCAACTATTTTGTAAATGTTAAGTTTTTAGTAGCTCTAGTGACACTTTTAAAAAGGAGGGCATCCCACCTCATTGCATTTTTTAAGGGTAAATGATTTTTTAGAGGTAAAGTCATTCACTAGCTGTGTATTTTTTGGTACAGCTAGAAAACAGTGGGATACTGAATTATGGCAGGCTTTGACTGTCTGGGTGCCAGCTTAACACTTCATAGGTGAGGGTTAGTTTTATATCCTGCAACACAAAGCACATGAAAGGGCAATTTGGAATCATAGTCATGCATTTAATATGTCTTGGGTATTTTAAATAACTTCTATTCTCATGTTGTTTTTAGTGGACTTGTTTCCTAAAGAAAACTACTTCCTGATGGTTGCCCTGTCAGAATCCTGTACACTTCCTCTCATCTTTGGTCATGGTAGTCCAATTTGCTTAATTTTGTTAATGTGCTGTGAAAGATAAAAAATTTGAGTGAGTGGTATATATGATAGAAAACTGTAAATTGGTGGAATGTGAGTAACACTTTATCAGCATATGAAGACAACTGGTATTTAATGCTCTAAAAATCTGCCTCCAAATTTGAAGTTGGAAAGTCACTGGAACACTGAAAAAACAATACATGGCTTTTTAGACTTTTTGGTACCTGTGTGAAGAGTGGTGTACAACATGCAATGTCTGTACTGATTTTCAACACAACCAATAAAATCTCAAACATGGAAGACAAAAAACTTCAAACTTTTGATAATGTGAACAAATTTTTTAAAATCCACAAAAGGGAGGAGGGACACAATGATGAACCTAAAAAAAGATAAAAAAATGTTTCTGCAAAGTCAAGCCTAACATAAATGATGCAGAAAATGACAACATATCTGCTATGGAAGAAACAGAAAGAATTATTAATGTCCCCCATTCCCAAGAATTACTATGCAGGGAAGAATTACTAAGACCCTTAATTCCCATGGAAGAATTAGTAACACTGTCCCCATTAGCAACACCCTCACTGCCATGGAAGAATTAGTAACACCCCCATTCCCATGGAAGGATTGGCAACACCCCCATTCCCATGGAAGAATCAGCAACACCCCCATTCCCACGGAAGGATTAGTGACACCCCCCATTCCCATGAAAGAATTAGCAGCACCCCCATTCCTATGGAAGGATTAGCAACAACCCCATTCCCATGGAACAATTAGCAACACCCTCACTGCCATGGAAGAATTAGTAACACCCCCATTTCCATGGAAGGATTGGCAGCACTCCCATTCCCATGGAAGAATCAGCAACACCCCCATTCCCATGGAAGGATTAGTGACACCCCCCCTATTCCCATGAAAGAATTAGCAGCACCCCCATTCCTATGGAAGGATTAGCAACACCTCCCATTCCCTAAGGAATTACTCACGCACTCTCCCCCCACCCCACTCCTATTTGAAGAAAACTAGATAGAATCCAGGGTCTCAGGAGATGTACTGGTGGATGCTGAAACTTAAGAAAAAAACCTAAAAGACGTTTATCACTGTCACCTAGTTAGGGACAGTGGGTACTCTGCAAACAAAAGGGGTATGCACTGAAAAGACCTAAACACAGTTGTCCAAAACAACTCTTCCACAGAAAGGAAAGCTTCATTTCCATGGCAACAGTAGCAGTCAGCAGATCACAGCAAGAAGCCCTGTACTGCGAAGGTTCTGCCTACCCTGCAGGAGAAGGAACGTTCCGTCAAAGGACACCAAAGGCCATGAGGCAGCACTGAAGAGCAAAGACAGTCAAACCTCCCTCTCCCTCACCCTGAGCTTCTCACGCACACCAGAGCATCTCAACAGGTGTTGCTACCAGCTAGACTAACACTGCCCTGAGACAATGAAGGCCAGACCACAAGCTAGAGGCATGACAAAATAAGCCCTGCTACCTTGCCAGCTCTGCCCACAAGGGAAAGAGACCAACCGGTCATACGATCTCACTGCTCCACCTGGCTAGAGCCTGTACGTTAGGCTTTAGGGGACAGGCTATGTGGAAGGGTAGCACATCAAGTCCAAGGACAACAGAAAAGTGGTGCTGCTCCACGTTCACTTAAGGCAAACCACACCAACGCCGCAAGTCCTAATCCAGCAAACCCTCCACTCAAGAAAACATTTCAAAGTCAGAATCTCCCGAGAATCAGCCATACTGGAACTTGGGGGCCTGACCAAGAAAGCAAGGAGCCATCCTTCATGGTAAGCAGTACCAGTGCCAAGAGCGCACCAGGTTGAGAACAAGTCAGCGTCTCCTGAGATGAGCCATGCCAGAACTTGGGTGATGACCAAGAAGGCAATGAGCCGAACTTTCTGATAGGTGGTGCGAGCTGCAGGTGCACCAGGGAGAAAGTCAGTGTCTCTCCCGAGCCTACCTGCTGCACGCAGGCTGAGAATCCAACATCCCGTAGCCCCCTTCCCGTTAGCAACTGGATGGTGCTGAGGTCAGCCAGAGTTGATAGCAACTAAGGCTCATAAAATACTTAAATGCTTGTATTGTTGGGTTGATTTTGCTGACCTGGGGCCAGAGGTCTTGGGAGGATGACCGTATGCCATATAGCAAATATGGGGGATACCTTTCTGTCTTCTCTTTGAAGGCAAATATTGTTTTCACTGCTTTGCTTTGTTCTGATTGTTTTTCTCTATTAAATATTGTCTGATAGGTTTTATATCTGTATTTGGTTTGATTTTGCTATACGTGATTGAATGGACAGCTACTGTGACAATAACGAGATATACTAAGGTACCTATTATTGTTAAGCCTGTATCCTGCCCTGAAGTTCTGTACCAATTTCACTGCATTGTCTCGATTGGCTTTGTTCTGTCTTGTTTTGTTGTACTGTACTACCTTTAAATTAAAAAAAAAAAAAAAAGCAAAGGCTTCATGTTGATAATTCACTGAGACAAGCATTTCATTAACTTCACTAAATAAAATTTTCATGTTTTACTTACTGAGTTTCATAAAATATTTCTCATATCAATTCTATTACACGTTTTTAAAGTGAGAGCAAATGAGCTTTTAAAATCCTAATGAGTCTGGTATGGTAGTGCATGCCTATAATCCCAGTCCTGGGGAGGCTGAGGCAGAAGAATTGCTGCAAATTCAAGGTTAGCCTGGGCTACAAAAGTGAGTTCAAAGGCCAGCATGGACAACATAATGAGTCCCTGTGTATAAAACAGAACAAAATAAGATAAAATAAAAAATTCTATTTGACTCAATGAATTGAAATTAGAAATACTGAATAAAAGCGAAAAGATATTGCATTCAAGCTGAACACAGTGGTCCATGCCCATAGGCCCAGCTACGTGACAGGTGGATCTCTTGAGGCCAATTTCAACAACAGAGAGAGCTGAGATTATATGACATAGTAATTGAAATATCTGACACAACGTACACTCAGCAGACTGTAACTCTAAGATCTTAAGAGACTTTTTCTGCATATATTGTCCTCTACAGTATATACCAGATTCTAACCTATCAAAATCAAAAAAGACAGGGAACAATTTTAAATGAGAAAAATAACTGAATCAGAGTTCCCAACCAGGGAAATAAAAAGCCAAGAGAGGTGAACAGCTTGAGGTCACAGGATCCGAAAAGCCTTTGGCAGCAGTTGAGCCCAACTCCTCCCACCACACTGCGTCACCCCTCCGCTTGCCACAGCAGGAGGAGACCCTGTGTCCTGAGGAGACTCAGACCAGGTTCCCGCTTATGTGCAACAGCATCACCTAACTCTGGTTCCAGCACATTTCCCTATAAACCGTCGACACCTGTGCCAAGCCACCTGCTATGAGACCATGCAAGCTGTTCTCCCAAGGAAACCCACACCCATCTGGTGTGAGGGACAACTACAAGATTTTAACTGCAGCGTGTTCCTAGAGGAGCACCAAAGGGCTAACACCCCCACACACATCGCCCTGTACTTTCAAGGTCTCCTTATTCCCAAGCAGATGCACGCATATGCACTCAGACACATAAACACTAAAAAACATTTAGGAAATGGAGGCTGTGGGGTCTCTAAGTCAGTTTCCAAAGCAAACCACATTCAGTTCAGGTAGGCACACTCCCAAGCATGTCATCTCCAGCAGAAACTTTAACACAACCATGCAGTGCATGGACACTAAGTGAGCTGAGATAGTTATTCTCAGTAATCTTTTATGAAAACTCAATGTTTTCACAATTTGGAGAAATACGTGCTTAGGTTGGGCATGGTTGTGCACGCCTGTGATCCCAAACAACTTGAGGAAAAAGACCCACAGAAATGTCCTAGTCACAGGAACAAGAGGAAGTCATCTCTACGGGACAGAGGAGCCCAGCCAAGGAGCAGAGGAGCCTGATGACTTCCAGCATCTCCCGACTGAGCTACAAGTGACACACAGGCTGAGATCTACACCTTTGGAAGGAAGTAGTAACCAGGGACACTGGAAATCTTACAATAAAGTAATGTTAGTACAAACAGGAAACATATGACTTTCCTACAATATGATTGACCCCTGCCTCAGGAAAATCAAGGTCCACCATTTTCTTTTTTTTTATAAATTATTTTTACTACAATCCTTCAGATGCAATCTGTATATGTGCCAGCCCCAGATGAATGTAATCATTATGTACTACAAACACATATTTTTAAAAAAAACTGTAAAACATTAAATTAAAAAATAAAAATTATACTTACCACAATCCATTCAGCAATGTTTTCATAGAGCTGTGGGCTAAAAATTGCCTTTTTAAGCCTAGCTAGAGGCCCATCAGCATCCACTAATCTGCAGCGCATGAAAACATCACAGTAGCCCCTGAAGTCATTGCACGGAGAGCCGGGCTGCAGCGTGATGGTGCGGCCATTGAAGTGCCTGCTCCACTGCACAGAGCCGGTGCTGGCGCAGGTAGAGGGCTCCACTGGAAGAGAAGCACTACATGTGAGCAGAGACTGGGTTTCAGGAAGGAACCGCTGGGGAGGACAGAGGGAAGGAAGAGACTGCCTAAGGGTGTATGTTAAGCATCTCTTCGCTAGCACAGCAGGACTACACCTTCAATACTGCAGGTTCGCTGCTACAGCACAAGCAAACAACAGGAGTCCTGATGGGGGCCTGGGAAGGCTTCAAACCTTTGAACTCTGTCTCAGTGAAGTAATGCTCTGTCTAGTGCATCACCCTGAAACACCGCAGAGATCGTACTGCTGGAGACAGAATGCTGTGTTATTTTTAAACTTTTCTCAAAAAAAAAAAAAAAACAGATTTAGCTAGAAACTCTCGGCCCAAACTGTATGTCAAAGTGTAATGCTTACAACTTGGGAGAAAATGGTGGTTTGTGAACGAGTTTACGCTGCTGCATCAGCAAAGCCTTACTTTTCTTCATGCAGCAGACATGGCAGAGCTCCTTGTCATCTTTGCCATCAGAACTGGCACAGGTACACTCCTCCAAGTCGTACTTCTCACAGATGGAGCCTGCACATTGCTGGAACAAAAGACAGGTTATTCCGACCCCATGCAGCCAGCCCTGGCATTCACAGGGAGGTACACGCCCTCAGTGTCAAAATAACTAAGCAGAAACAATGCAACAAACCCAGAGCCGGGAGTATGGCTCAGAGGTGGAGCACTTGCCTGGCATAAGCACCGCAAAGCAAGGCAAAACACACAGATGAACTGGAACTCGATCATACAAACACATTTTTAAAAAGGCAGTGGCAACAAGAAAACCTACACTTGAACAAACGCAGAACTTCGTGTTGGTTATTATGGCTCCTCTGTGAGCAGAGAAAAATGGAATTTGCTTCATGTGGACGGAAGTGATAGCCATGAAAGCTTTCAAGATCTCATATTCAGAGAAAATGATTAGAAGAGTTCTTTTATTTAGGCAACAGAAATATTAATTTGTAAAATTTAAAAGCCTCATAGATAAAGTGGCACATCTAGCTGCCCTGCTCCATTCCTCAGGGAGCAGCAAACACTCAAGCCTGAGAAGATGCAAGGCAAGGCCGCAGCAAACAGAGCCCCCTAGCCGCTCATGCCACTCAATAGGCCTGGCTTTGTGGGAAACAGCTGGCTGTCACTGCCACAGCCACCAGGATTAGCCCCTCCACGTAGCTTTAAGTGTGTGCAATTATTCTGAAAAAGTAGGCTCGATACAATTAAAATTGAGGCACGCAGACCTAAGCACTCACCCCATTAATGCACACTTGCGTGTGCCGGTTACAATCTGTGAAGTTGGGCTTGGGGTCAGATGCCGGGCACAGCGCCGTGATGCCGTTACAGACCCCCTCGCGCGCACAGTCGGAGTCATCTCGGCACTTCTCCAACTTTGACTTGAATGTGCACTGCGCCGTGCAGCAGGGACCTTGACTCGGACTGGAAGAAACATTCAGTGACTCCACAGAATAGCCAGGTGTTTGCTAAACACTGAGATGGTCTTAAGTCTTAAATCACAAATCTCATCTTTTAAATCATACGCATGTTACTGGTACACAACTATAACTGTGGTTAAAAAGATGCTACTGTCCAGAAACACTCTAGTGAGGACAGGAACGTGGTAAGCATGTGGTGTTTACAGTGAGTGTGTACTCAAGTCAGCCTTCTTTCTCTAGCTGCCCTCTGTGGCAGGCTATAAGGGAAGACGGATATCATGTTTAGCAACTTACCAGTGTTTATTCACAATTATATTACGCATTAGTCAATTTATCAGTTTTTCTCTCATTTTTATGCTAAAATCGAACTAGACTACATGGGCCAGCCAATTGTAAATATTGTCATTCTATATTCTTCTGCTTATAATTCATCACTACTGATATAATCTGACAAGTAACTATATAAAGCTAAATCACAAAGTGCACGCACCCTGTAATCAGTGAAAGTTTAGAATCTAAAACCCTAGAAGATAATCGCATTTTTCACATTGAGAATAAATTACATGCATTCTACAGAGCAGCCTTTCTAGGACCTTGTCACGCCCACCGCACCAATCACGGGCAGTTCAAACAGCCAACAACAGGGTACTCCAGGTCATGTGGGGAAAACGCGTAAAATAACAGACGACTAATAGCTTTGACAAAGCTCTGACCTGTGTGCACCTCCCGCTCCCGAGCCCCGAGCACCTGCACTGCTTCCCAGGCTTCAGTTTGCACTTCCGACCTGCTGGCTGGTTGGCGTCAAAGCAGCACTCATCCTTGCACTGGTCACTGTAGCCGCAGTCGCACTCTTCGCCCTGCTCTACCATCCCGTTGCCACAGATGGGCTGGCCAGACTCTGCAGAAAGCACAAAGAATCATCCAGCTCCTGCCAACAGCATAAATATACAGACAAGGTCCTATTTAAATGCAAGACTTCCAACAGATACATTATTTTCTATTACGTAAGGAGGGGCCAATGCACTTCTTCATCTCCTGGAATCCCTACAAAGCAGCATGAGTTTTGTTTGACAGGCTGCAGTGCTGGGATCACAGGATGTGCCACCATGCTCAGCTGTGTGGTTATTTTTAAAGGTCTACTTCAGTCAGCAGGTTTACTATGGAAACTCCATCAACAAATGAAGAATCCATAATCTACAGAGTACTTCTTTACTGAAACCATAGATCTGGGCGTGGTGGTGCACACCTGTAATTCCCCGATTTGGGAGGCTGACCCAGGAGGACTGCCATGAGTCTGAGGCCATCCTGGGCCACATAGTGAGTCTAAGGCCAGCCTAAGCAATATAGTGAGACCTGGTCTCAAAAAAAAAGGGAAGCAAATAACCACAAATGTAAAATGTGGGGCTGGGGATTTAGCTCAGTGGCTCAAGTGCTTGCCTGGTAAGCACGAAGTCATGAGTTCAATCCCCAGTACCAAAAAAAAAACCAAACAAACAAACAAACAAAAAAAAAAAACAGTAAATATGAAAATATCAATGTAATTTCAATCAACTGCTATTAAAGAAAATAGCCTTTAAAAGTAAAGGCTAGAGTCTGTAAAAACAGTGAAAAAATACATGAGACCGTGGGAGAGAATATCTGCAAACTAGTATCTGAAGAATGACCAGTATCTAGACTACATACAGAAATTTCCAAACTCAGTCTATAAAAACATCCCACTAGATAGAAATGGCCCACCCTACATAACGACATTCCACCAAGGAAGTCATAGACAGTAAATAAGCACAGAAAGATGTTTAACACTGTCAGTCATCAGAGAAATCCAGGCTGAGACATGAAAAGCACGCTGGGCGTCAGGGCACGTGTCTGCAGGGCCAGCATCTGGGCGGCTACGGCAGGAGAATCACAAGTTTGAGGCCAGCCTGGGTTACACAACAAGACACTGTCTCAAAAATACTTCAGTGTACTCCTATCAAAATGACAGCGAGTAGCTGGGGATGTAGCTCATCAGCGTAAGCGCCTGCCTGGCAAGTGCGAGGTCGTGAGTTCGATCCTGGGTACCACAAAAAAAAAAAAAAAAAAAAAAAAAAAAGAATGACAGTGAAAACACATGGATGCTAACAATGCAGACACTAGCTTATGCACTGCTCATGACAACATAAAATAGTACAGCCACCTGGAAATCATTTGGCAATATGGCCCAAAAGAGTTACTAGTCTGCTAAGTGACTTGGTGGCATCTGCCCCAAAGGAATAAAAACCCACATTCACACAGAAAAAAACCTGTATGCGAATGCTCATAGCTGCTTGACTCTCATATCCAAACATGGGAGACAGCCTGAGGTCCTTTCACAGAAGAACGGTTAACCTGCCACATACACACACTTTAACACTACTCAGCAACACAAAAGAGTAATAAACTACTTAGATGAACCTCTAGGAAAATATGCAAGTGAAGAAAAACCACCCAAAAGGTTATTTACTGTGTGATTCAGTTAAGTAACATTTTTGTCTCATATTTTTTAAAATTTTATTTTTTTGGTAGCAGGCATTGAGCTCGAGATCTCATGCTTATAAGTAACATTTTTTTTTTTTTTGGTATGGGGATTAAACTCATGACCTCAAGCTTGCCCGGCAGGCATTTATGTCACTGGGCTAAATCCCCAGCCCTGTAAGTAACACTTTTGAAGTGACATCTTAAAATAAGGACTAAAATGTGCTGAGGCTGTAGTTCAGAAAGGCCCTAAATTCAATTCCCAGTACCACAAGGAGACAGAAAGACAATATTATAACCCATGGCAATGCCTGCAACTCTATTTATTTAATGGTGCCAGAAAATGAACTCACAACCTTGTGCTCACCAGGCAGGCACTGGCCTACAACTTTAAAATGTAACAAAAAAGATAGGTTGAGGAATGCACAGATTAACAGGTATGTGATAACGGAAACACAGCAAGGTGTTAACAATTGTAAAATACAGATGTCGGGCACATGGGTACACACTGTGGAATGCGTTAAGTTTTTTGAATGTCTGAAAGGGTTCAAAATAAAAGGCTGGGAAAACTTACATACCAACAAAACAGTTGTTTCTCTTCTTCTCCAGAACTTGACTTATGTTTCTGATACTACACAGTGAGAACTTGTTGTTGTTCAGTTTGTCCCCAGATGTAGCTCTTGCATACATGATGTAATTGCCATTTTCTTTCTGTCCTAAATTCTTAGATTCTCCTGGGGTGCACTCTGTTCCAGAATCATGCTGTCAAGCAGAATAAGGAGTTACATAAACAGGAGATCCAAGAAGGTTTTCAGGTCGTCTGATTAAATAGTTTCTCATCAAAAGAACAAAGGAGGCCTCGGATCCCATCAGAAAGGTATCACAACCGCCTTAGACTATGGGCAGGAAAACCGTTTTCTTTGTTAGAGGCCACTGTCTTAGACAAGGAGGGTAATCTCGGTCTGGTCACAACAACTTACAGCTTTGTGAGCAGGGACTAGAACTGAGGGAAAACTGTCATTAAGTCCATCAAATATTTACCTTTAAAACTAGTAAAAATAGTAAACAATAAAAATAGTAAAAAACTTCAAAACTACGTATTCTTCAGATTCCAAGCTCAGCTGCCATGTTCTGACTAGTTCAGAGGAAACAAGTGGGGCAAGGGAAAGTGAACAAAGGAGCCTAGCACAGGTCTGTGTACAGAGTAGGAATCCACGTGTGCTCAGGAACTAGTACCAAAGGAAAATAAATGTGTACACTGCAGGCACAAGCACAGTGCTCTGGGACTGGGGATGTAGTTCAGTGGCACAGTACCTGCGAGGCAAGCGCAAGGTCCCGAGTTTGATTCCTGACACCAAAAAAATAAATAAACAAAAAACACACAATGATCTATTTTTAAATGAAATTAAGAAAACTCCAAGCTGGACATAGTTGCATGCATCTGTAATCCCAGTACTTGGGAGGCTGAGGCAGGAGGGTCACTATGAGTTCAAGGCCAGCCTGCATTACATAGCGAGATCCTGTCTCCTAATTATTGTTTTTCAGAACACAGGAGACAAGTTTTATATAGCAGTGAGTGTACATGCTGAATGCTTTTGGTTTTGATAGATTTAAGTATCACAGCATCAAAGTATAGCTCCCTGAATTTTGCCAAAGTAAAAACACTCATATGCATAATCAAACCCTGTCTCAAAAAAAAACTAAAAAAAGATCAACTGCATACAGGTCCAGCAACAGACTGCCACCAGACTCTAGCAGCCCTTGCCCCCCTGGAAATACGCATTTAAACAAGCAGGGCTCACAAATCATTGGGTTCTAAAATCTTGTTTTCTTTTTCTCTTTTCCTCTTTTTTTTTTCTATTTTTGGTACCGGGGATCAAACTCACGACCTTGCGCTTGCCAAGCAAGCACTTGTGCCAGTGAGCTAAATCCCTGGCCCAAAACACTTGTTTTCAATATCCAACAACACTCTCTACAGAGAAGCAGAGTGGCCCAGGGAGTCCACTTAGTCACTTTCTTTTTTCCACTCCCCATTAGGAGGTAACGACCTGTATTAAAATTGTGGCCTGTGCCATCATCTTTATTCTTCCTGATACTTCTTGCTTTTCCCCTGAACCTAGAATCAGATTTACCATCCTCCAGTATTATCTCCCTTTATGTCTTCATTCTGTGAAATGTAGTATGGCAGCTAATTAAAGTATGGCACTAGCACTATTTTCAACACTCAAATTTTAGGAGAGAAAACCCCAGTACCGCACAACCCTTGATGGCCTCAGAATACCTGGCCACCTTTAAAATCAATGCATTGTGTCCAAAGCTACTCGGAGGCACTAAATACATAAAAACATTCAGATGAAGCAAAACCACTGTAGTTCAAATCGAGAGTAAAGTTTTACAAAGAAACTATAAATTTTGACCAAAAAAATCTATTAAAAAACACTCATAAAAATTTAAAAATCAAAAAATGGACAAGAAAAGTCAGTTATAATCAATGACCTGCAACAACTGTTACTATCGCTAACAAGCAGTACTGACATCACTCACATCTGTCCATTTCCCAAGTAACTTGTATGTGGCTGTATCATACACCAGTGTAAGATCTGAACTCTGCTGTGCATACAGGTGTATTCGTGTTTCAGCTTCAAGTGTAAAGCACTGCAAGCCTTTTATAATGAATATTGTGTGGTGTTTTCCAATTGTGGGTCCACTTTGGCTGTTTGAAATTTTTGCTATGAAAAAAGAGAAGTGCAATTGAACTTGTGTGTGTGTGTGTATGTATCTTTTTTGAGACAGAGTCTCACTATGCAGTTCAGGCTGGCCTTGAGCTCACTTTGTAGCTCAAATTGATCTCAAACTCCAGCCTCAGCCTCCAGAGAGCTGGGATTACAAGTGCGTCGCCATGCCCTGTCTTTGTAAATCCTCCATTTCCTTCTCTTAGCTGGATATCCGGTGGTAGAGTCACTGAGTCAACAGCAGGGACCAAGATTTCAAAGGTGGAGGAGGGAAGGAACTGACTTCCTGGTGGAGGACTGTGCTGAAGGGCCTGGCAATGGAAGGGAAGAGGAAACACAGGGAGCAGACCCGGGCTTGACTCAAGGCAAACTCTACACTATATGATCAAGAAATCATGTCAGCACTATCAGCTGGGAGTGGAAACACAATTTAAAAAGAAGTGGCATAATTAGAACTGTATTTATACAAAGATGAATCTGGCAAGGGTGGGTGTAGATTACAATTTTCATACTGAAACACAGAAAGTTGTCTCACTTTTTATTATCATTTCCCATAACAGAGCTTCTAAAGCAGTTTATAGTAAGCATACAATGACTATATGAGACAGGGCAAAAAATGTAATGTAAGCAATGTGAACACTCAGGGAGACAGGAACAGACACACAGCAGGGAGACAAAAGACTTCAGTACAAGTGTCAAGAGAGCCAGGTTCAGGAGTTTATGCAGTTCCAGCTGATCTTACTACAGATTAATAAACATCTGACAAGCAGCTACTATACTCATATAATAGAATGTACAACATTACAAAAAACTAGCATGCACGTGTCATTAGCTATGTGGTGTGAGAAGGAAACAGCAAAGTAGGCAAAGGAGGACCACACTATCTATTAAGCAATAACCAGAATGTAATACAGCACACTAAGGTACTAAGTCAGCCACCTGGCATGCGAACAAGCAGCGCCAGTGACTGGGGTTTGGATTCTCTGCACCACAGCTGGTCCTCGAATCTGCAGCAGCACTATCTGGGATGCAGCAGAAATACAGAAGACCCCCAGATAGAGTTTGTGTTTTAAGGGCCTCACATGATTGACATGTGAGGGGTTCTGCACTAGCTGGCGAAGGAGAAGTGTGGTGCACATCTTCCCCAGCAAGGCCTGGAGCCAAGGGATCTAACAGGGAAAGCGGCCTTCTCTGTGCCTGAAAATGCATACTGGCCAACAGCAGCCGTTCTCTGCTTATCTCAAAAATCTAGGGATTTTGGGGGGCATTTCTTTTCCGAGACAGTCTTGCTGACTCAAAGCCTCTATGAAGCCCAGGCTAGCCTCACATCTGCAAACCCCCTGCCTTAGCCACCCCAAATGCTGGGATTACAGGCATTCGACCCCACAACTCAGCTCAAGTATTATTTTGATAATAAGCTCTTGATTGCAGAGTGGGACTTAGAAAGCTAAAGATAACTTACTGAAATGGGACGTTCCACCAACCTGAAGAAATCCAAGACCTATATTTGTAGACATTTAAGCACAAGTATACTACTTATTTCTACATAGATGTATGCATTTTGTTGCTAGGGACTGAACCCTCAGGATTGTAGGGGCCTTGTGCATGCTAAGTGTGTGCTTACCACGAAGCTGCACTCTCAGGCCCTACAAATTATCTTTCAATAATATAATATTTACAAGTGTTAAGCTAACCTTGTAAACTCATAAAATGAGTTGACATACACCTTCCAAGTGAGGTCTTCCCAAGCATGTTTCTTTAAGAAGTTCTAGCTGGGCACATGCCTGTAACCCCACCAACTTGGGAGGCTGAGGCAGCAGGTCCACTGGGTGTTCAAGGCCAGCCTGGGTTACACAGCAAAATTTTGTCTTGAGAAAACCAAAAAAAAAAAAAAAAAAAAAAACCTGCAGCTCTACCAGAATCGCAAAAGTATCTTTCAGTATTTCCTTTTTCTGTGTACTACTGACCTTTAAGTCACTTAAGAGTCAATATAATGGATCAAGGTATTAGACGATATCAAAGAACACTGTTAATTTGGTTAAACATAATCACATTATGGCCATAATAAAATATCTTTTTCAAAAGTGTATATTAAAATATATAAGCACAGGTTATTCTGCTTTAAACAACTTAGCAAGAAAAGAAAACAATATCTTAAGTGGATATGGCAAAACCCTGATCACAGCTGATGCTGAGGCACAGGGTGGCCAGATGCTGGGACCACATGGCCTGAGCTCAGAATGGTCTTCCACAGCAGAGGATGGCAAAACACTACAGAAACCAAACAATACCCCACAGCCTGAAAGTGTTTACCAGCAGGTGGTTTACAGAGGGGCTCTTGTCCAGTCAAGGTGCGAGGTGAGGTGCCAGGTACAGCCCTTAAGGACTACACAGTAGGGAACTCAAGCACAGCAGGCCTGCCAATCTGCAACACCCTTCCCAAGAAAGGACCACATTCTCTCTGCCCCCAATTCATCCAGGCTGCAACTCCTCTACCTCTTTAAATTCTCTGTTTTCCTGCTTCCGCCCCTCTGCCTGCTGAGTCTGCTCTGGGAACCCAGCCTAGCCGCTTCCAGAGCTGCTCCCTCCCCATCTGTACCGATTTGCCGATTCCTGTTCCCCAATGAAGTAGATTCCTTCCACAGCAGAAAAAGACAAACCCCAGTAAATCTTAATACTGCTTTAACAAAAAAACAAAGGAAAAAGCAACTTGCTAAAGAGTCTCAGTGTACTTCAGACAAGAAAAAGGCCTCTCCCTGGAGCATGTCTGAAGCACCACGAACTAGACGTTCTCCTAGGAACAAGAGTTATACACAAGGGGCTGGGGATTTAGCTCAGTGGCATAAGCACCTTCCTTGCAAGCAGGCAGTCGTGAGTTCGATCCCCGGTACCAATAAAAAAAAAAAGAATTACAGATACAATTTTGTCCATGTAAACCAGTCGAAGCCCCTTCCGTTCATGAAGTTTTGACACTGCTATGCTTACATTTCTTATTTGAATTACAAATACTCTATCTTCTTCCCCTTCAGTATAATTGGGTATATTACTGTGTTCTGCCACATAAACACCAAACATTGTTATATGTATTTGCTTTCACTGTAAACAAAAAATCGTTCAGAATGAAAGGCTAGTAACATTTTAAAAATCTAGAAGTTAGGCAATACTTACTGGAGATCCAAAGTTATGTCCAACTTCATGAGCAAAGGTTATGTGAGAGACTTTGGGAGGTACATGAGACCCGTAATTCTGCACAGTAATAATTCCAGTGTTCAAGGACTTCTTCTTACCATCAGAATAGAGCTTACTTTTTTCACAGATTCCTCCAGAGCTTCCTAAATTCAGAACAAGAAAAAGCTTAATTATCTACTTCATTCCACTCCCCAAAGAGCTAATATTAAGGAGCTAAATTAAAACATTTTGTATTTTCAACCTAAAATACAAATGTTAATTGTAATTGAATTGAGCATTTGAATATTTGTCATATACAAATTCATCCCATATAATACTGTCAAATACGAATTAAGCACAGAAGACTCTATCTTTAGAGCCAATCTTTATCAGTTTTTTAAAGCAAATGGGCCAATTTTTAAAACTCTAATAACATTTTCAGTATTTTAAAGATCCAGCTAATTTAAAGGATGATCATATAAAAGTTTAACTATATTTTTCTGAAATATAGTCTTTGAAATTTGTTTACCTTCTTAAATAACTTTTTATCTTAATGATTACTGCTTATATTAAAGTTTAATATTTATTATAGAAAAATACCATATTGTGGAGTAACCCATATAGGAAAAGATAAAATACTACATCTAACTTTTAAATTATCATTTAATTTTTTAAGAATATTGTAGCTAGTTCTGGTGTGCCAGGAATACAATTAGTGATACCATATATGCTAAATTACAACCCAGCTCACTGCTTTATAGTCTAACATTTTGCTATCCAGAGTCACCCTGCAAACTACAAGCTGTGAATAAAAATAAGAAGGAAATGTTTTTAATTCACATTAAAAGCAATCAGTCATCAGGCCAAACTGAAAACACTGAGATAGCCAAGCCAGGGCTGAACAACCCCAGCAAGCCAGAGAAGCGGCCTCTCAAAGCGGGGTGCAGGGGCCAGCGAAGGAAGCGAGTGATGGGGTTGTCCAACTTCAAGAACTCACTTGGTGAAGGAGCCACTGTCTCATTCTCTCCAGCCTCTGATCAGCCGGCCCCACTGAGTGCTAGGACTGCGGCCCACACTCTGCTGGCCCTGCAGAAGGCTTTCTCATCACAGAAGAACACCACTCAGTGACTAAAAAGCAGCACACAGCAGACAACACTCAGAACAAACAGGCTGGGGACACACAGTGCTCCTGCCTGAATGGGCACAAGAGACCCTGGACTCTGTCACCAGGTGACAATGAACAGAAGAAGAAAAATAATAAAAGAACGAACAGAGAATACTTAAGAGACTCAAAGACAAGAAACTTCTATGCAAATGGTTTAACTCGCATTTTTCAGAGTTCAGACAGGTTGGTGGCCCACAGCTCACAGAGTAAATGTTCTGCAATCATTTACATGACAAGAACATAGTATATTTCTCCCACTGTATTTCTGAGTAACAAGTATTCCCAGAATTAAATTAAATTAGGCCAAGTTACACCAAAGAATAAGGATGAACCAGGATTAATTTGGCCAACTAAAAATGAAACATTAAGAAACAGTAACAGATTACAAACTGAACCAGTCAGGTATGCAGAATTATCTAAAAAGAACCAGACTATTAGCAAGCACTGCAAGACTCATAGACAGAAATGAACAAAAGAAATTGTAATGCACATTAAGCAAGCTGAAGCAAAATAATTTACATCAATTTATAGAACTAGAACAGATAAGAACCCAGTCTCAAGCCAGGCATGGTGGTACCCACCTGTAATCCCAGCACTTGGGAGGCTGAGGCAGGAGGATCACTGAGTCAGAGGCCACCCTCAGCTACATAAAAAGTTCAAGGCTACACAGCAACACTTAGTCTCAAAACACCAGAAACAGAACCAGAACCAAACAAAACAAACCCAGGCTCCCAGCTCTTGACCTACTGTGTTGTTCTGGTATTCACTAGTACCTATGAGTTTGTAGCGCACAATGGTGACGGGCACCATGAGGCACTGGCAGGTGTACAGGACACCCTAACTGCTTTTATTTCCCCTCCCCTCCCTCTCGCTCTTCTCCCTCCATCGATATTTCTCTGCCCACCTGCAGAGAAATCTTCCTACTTCGCATTATCTTTTATTTTGTGCTTCTCATATAAAAGAAACCACGCCATATTCAGATTATTTCACTCGACATTATGGTTTTTGAGGCACATCCATTTCCCTACAAAGGATTCACATTGATCCATCCCAGCAGAGCACTGCTCCACTGTGCAAATACGCCTCACTTTCAGTGTCCAGCCACATGCTGGCAGACACGTGGGCCACTTCCTGTTTCTCCCAGGTGCCACAGCTTCATCCCAAGTGACAGGGACAGAGCTCAGTCTACACCATGCGTGACTCTTCTCTCATAAACAAGGAGACGGACCCCAGCAGTACCCGTCACACAGCCTCTCTTGGGAAGCAGGACACACCTCAACTTCTTGTTGGAACCGTCTCACAAAGAGACGGTGAGGTGCTACAGCAGAGACACAATGACTACCAAATGCACTGAATCTGGAGTCCAAAGAACTCAGGTGCTGTTCCTCCTTTAGCTCTGCAACCCTAGGCTGCTCACAAAGTTTCCAAACTCCAGTTTCCTCATCTACAGAACAAAGACACTAATACCTATACCTCATATGGGTACTGCAGCAATAGGGGGTGGGGGTGAGGGGTCATCTCTATAGCATGCCTTGTAAAGTCAATCACAGAAAATGCATGCTGAATAGAAAACTGATTCAGCCAGGGAGAGGAAGGACCACCTGCAGGGAAGGAGAACACTACCAGCTTCACTTCGAGGGGGGCACAAGCTGGGCTGAGGAGCACAGAGCCTCTGTCCCTGCTCTCCCCTCCCCAGAGGCCCTCAGAATAAAAAAGGTTAAGAACTGGAGTCAGGGGTTCACTGGAGAGAGTAAAGGCACATGGCATCTGACGCCTGAGGTAAGGAGGAGAGATTAGAACACCAGAGAAACATGAGCAGAGCAAAGCGGGCAAGGGAGGCAGTCGATGACGAAAGATGTCACACTTTTCCTCCTGGCTGCTCAAAGCACCTCTGAGGATGAGGTGCCCGGGAAGGACCCTGCTTCACCCCACAGAGAACGAACGACCAAGGCAGAGAAAACGTGCCTCACCCCGAACTCTGCCTGCGCCACCTTAGAAAAATGACAGCATCACAAACTGTGGCTCAAACACCACAAACAATTAGACAGTAAACATCCCCAACACCCACGGCCTTAGCCAATCAGAAGAGAAACTCCAGATTCCAATGGGGGAGTATCCCACAGGACCCAACAGTACTCAGCAGGCAGGGTATGGGGAACTCTAGTACCATCTGCTCAATTTTTGGGGAAGGGAATGGGAAAGAAGGGGAAGAGAGGGGAACGAAGAAAAGGGAGGCTTTTTTTTTTTGGTACCAGAAATCGAACTCATGACCTTGTACTTGCAAGGCAGGCGCTGTGCCGCTGAGCTACATACCCAGCCTGAAAAGCCTGTCTCTGAAGTACTAGGTATCTGCAAGAAGATGACACATCTGGCCAGGTGGCTGCAGGCCAGGGCACACTTGGTGAACAACAATCTGCATGTGGAAACACCAGCTTGTGGAAGTATTGTGCCTGAGGTCACACCGCCTTACCCCGCAAGCATTTTGTGAGCAAGTTTTAGAGATAAAACTCCAAACCTGAGGCAGGGCATGGTGGCTCACACCTGTAATCCCAGCACTCAGGAGGCTGAGGCAGGAGGATTGTTGTGAGTTTGAGACCAGTCTGGGCTACACAGTAAGCTCAAGGCCAGCCTGAACTGCACAGAGAGACCCTGTCTCAAAAAGACAACAAAACAAAACACCTCCAAGCCTGGTGGTGCTGGGCCTTCGGTGTGTACTAGATTCGCCTGTCAAAGGGCTAGGCCCCCCTCTCTGAGCTCCAAGGCTCACACATCCGCTCTCCAACGGGTACCTCTGCAGCGGGGATACAGGACCACACCACAGAAGCACCCCTGGGAGCCTTGGGAACTGCAGCATTTCTAGGACCTACACGAAGAAAAAGCAAAGGAAGCCTAGCTTTTTTATAGCACTTCCTGAGGAGCAGGGAGAAAAGACCATAAGCTTTGCCATTAAATCATCCAACTATCTGAGGGGGAGGAAGACATCACATTATAACAACTATAAAATGTAAGCTTGGCATAGTGGCTTGTGCCTATAATCCCAGCATTTGGGAGACTGAGGCAGAAGGATCACCAGCAAGTTCAAAGCAAGTTAAAACTACAGGACAGTATTAAAAGCTATGTGCTGTGACATGCAACCCATGACATAAATTTGCATCTTAATAACACCATGAACTGGGCTGACCACACAATAAGGAAGACAAACAGAAGCAGCTTTGGAAGTTGCAATAAGGATATTCACTGCTGGCTTTAAAACAAAAAAAGGGCAAGAAATACAAATAGAAAACAGTATTCCTCAGGAACTTAAAGTAAGCCTAGTAAAACTAAGACTAGAGGGTATGTGGGGAAGAAAATCGGATGTAAAAAGAATTAAAATGTATATTATCACCATTTGCAGATGACATGATACTCTACATAGAGGACCCCAAAAACTCTATTAAAAGACTACTAGAGTTAATATAAATTCAGCAGTGTAGCTGGATACAAAATCAACACTCAAAAAAATCAATAGCATTCCTGTACACAAACAAAAAGCTGACAGAGAAATTATGGAAATATCACCTTTTACAATAACATCTAAAAAAATGAAATACCTAGGAATCAGCCTAACCAAGAATGTAAAAGACCTATATCCTGAAAATTATACTACTCTAAAAAAGGAGATTGAAGATAATCAAAAATGGAAGGTTATTCTATGCCCTTCGTTAGGAAGAGCCAACACTGGGAAAATGGCCATATGCCCAAAACTGTTACACAGAGTTAATGTAATCCCAATCAAAATACCATTAACAGATCTAGAGAAAACATTCCTAAAATTCATCTGGAAACAGAAGAAATCTAGAATAGCAAAGGCAATTCTGAGCAACAAAGGCAAGGTAGGAGGCATCTCAGTTCCTGACTTGAAATTATACTACAAAGACACAGTGATAAAATCAGCATGGTACAGGCAAAGAAATAGACCTGGGCATCAATGGAACAGATTCGAAGATGCAAACACAACTACAAAGACACTCAACCACTTTATATTTGACAAAGGGGCTAAACATGTTCACTGGAAGAAGGATAGCCTCTTTAATAAATGGTGTTGGAAAATTGGCTTTACACATGCCACAAAACTAAACCTATGTTTATCACCATGCACTAAACTAAAATCAAAATGGATCAAAGATCTAAATATTAAAACAGAAACACTAATTCTACTGGAAGACAAGGTAGGTAGAAACCTTGGAGATATAACAGTAAGCAAAGAATTCATGAACAAAATGCAAACTGCACAGGAAAAAAGAATCAACAACTGGGATCTCATCTTATTAAAAAAGTTTTAGCACTTCAAAAGAAATCACCAACAAAGTGAAAAAGAAAACCCACAGAATGGGAAAGAATTTTAGCCAACAATCCCTCAGACAAAGGACTTATATCTAGAACATATAAAGAATTGAAAAACATCAAACCCCCCAAATTCAAAGATCCTCTCCAAAAATGGGCGTCTGAGATAAACACACAGTTCTCAGATGAAGATATACAAATGGCAAATAAATCCATGAAGAAATGTTCACCATCACTGGTCATTCGAGAAATGCAAATTAAAACAGCATTGAGATTTATTTCATCTTACCCCGGAAAGAATGGCTGCCATCAAGAAATCAACCAATAACAAATGTTGATGAGGCTGCGGGAGAAAAAGGAACACTTCTCCACTGTAGGGAGTGTAGACTGGTGCAGCCACTGTGGAAATCAGTATGGAGATTCCTCAAAAAACTAGGATTGGAAGCTCCATTCAATCCAGCTATTCCCCTCCTGGGTATTTTCCCAGAAAAACTGAAAAGGTCATGTTACAGTGATATATGTGCACCTATGCTCATAGCAGCACAATTTGTAATAGCTAAATCTTGGAAATGACGAAAATGTCCATCAACCGCAGAATGGATGAAAAAGATGTGTTATTTTTATACAACAGAATATTACTCAGCTATAAAACAGGATGATCTTGAGGCTTTTATAGGTAAATGGAAGCAACTTGAGACTACCCTCATCTGTGAAATAAATCACTCACATTTGTAAATATCGAATTGTCTCTAGTATAAAAATAATAATAAAAACTGAACAAGTAATAAGATCCAAAATGTATAATAGATACTGTAATAATGAAAAGGAAAGAAAGTGTTCTAAAGGATAGAATTGTATGATTAATTGTGCAAAATAGCACACTTCTAAGTTGTTGTTAGTTCATCAAACAGAATGGTTTGTACTGTCACTGTTTGATTGTTACTTTTTATGCTTTGATTTTGTAACTTGAACAACTACTTCTAAGATAACAATATGTAACTTATCAACCAGTGATTTACTACTCTTCTTTTGAAATTCTGTATTATTTCTACCCTTTTTTCTATTTCACTTTTTTTCACTAAATTAAAAAAAAGAATTAAAATGTGCTATTGCATGTACCAACTCCCCACGATGAATACAGTCATTGTACGTACTGCAAATACGTACCAGTAAAAAATTTTTAAAACAGCAAAGAGCTATGGGTAGCGGGGCTCTTGCCTAGATCTCTTTCCAAGCAGCACTTCCTTTTTCTTATTTTTTGATTTTTCAGACAAGGCCTTGCTTTGTAGTTCAGGCTAGCCTCGAACCTGTGGTGATCCTCCTGCCTTGGCCTTCTAAATGCTGGGTTAACAGCACAGGCCACCATGCCTGCTAGCATTCTCTTTCGGTTAAAATAAAGACTAACAATAAAATAATAATAAAAGGCAGGTTTTCCTTTCCTGCCGCTCCTCACCAGGGCTTCCCTGTTCTTTATCTCCCTGCACAACAAAAACAATATACTTTTCCTCCTTTAGACAAAGCAAGAGATGTTGTCCCCTTCCACCTCTCAGTCCCTATTTTGAAAACTAAATACATATTCATAGCTGTGTTTAATGGCATTTAACTTGAATATTTCAGCTACTGAAAGCACCAAAATGTGAAGGCTTTTCCCGGGACTGTTTTCAGGATGAAAAGCCACCTCGTGTGTTTTGCAGCCCCATCACGCTTAGCTTACTCTTGCAAACTTGCGCCATGTAACTAGGACTGTGCCTCTGCTCTGCACAAGTGGCCTCTGCCCCTCGCAGGGAGTGGGGCGTGGTGCCAGCAGTTACCTGAAGGTGCCCCCACCCACGCCAGACCGAGAACCCCATCATCAAAGTCTCGGTCTGTGAAGACGTAGGCCAAGCAGTAGTCATCGTGGTTCTGCTCAGAATTCAGCTCCAGAAACTTCTCCACACCGATATTGGGGAAACGGAAAGGATTCGTGGGGTCCTTCTCATCAGCAGTTGTATTGATCTAAAAATCCAAAACACAAAGTACATAACCAGTGTTGGGTGAATCTGAGTAAAGGCTCTTTGTCCCTCTTGCATGGGAAGGCACAGCGTGGCCAGGGTGGAATGGGGCTCAGCCTGCTCCTGCCGCCCACCATAAGCTAGGGCAGAGCCAGAATTGAGGAATGAGTCCTGGGGCACCTGGCCACCGAGCTACAGCCCCAGCCTATTTTCCAATTTTTCTTTTTCTTTTTTTTTTTTTTGAGATAGGGGCTCACAAGCTGCCCTGATGGGACTTGACCTTGTAATCCTCTTGTCTCAGCCTCCCTCAGTGTTGGGATTACAGGCACGCACCTCTGTGACAAGGTCAGAACATCTGGTTTACCATTAGCAACCAGAAGCATTCGGTGATAGTCGTATAACACAAAAACTTTCAAAAGCAACCACATGTATGTTATAAACAACTCATGATTAGAAACACAGATGGTTTTCACTACTACATATAAAAATGAAATTTCCTGATACTTCTGTAGTACTAGCTATAAGCCTTAATTTTAAGTATATGAATTCTGATTATGTGTGTTAAAATATATTCTTCACATCTGAATATTTACTGATCAAATATAAATTTTAAACTATTTAATATATTATATACAATCGTCAACAGATGAGATTTAAACTACAATTTTAAGGCAGGCATGGTGGCACACTCCCAGTACTCATGAAGCTGAGGCAGGAGGAGTGCCCAGAGTTAAGCCCAGCCTGGGCGACATGGCAAGTTCAAGGCCAGTCTGGACTACACAGTAACACTCCATCTCCAAAAGAAAAAGCTTTACCAAAATTCGTTCAGGCGTTTTCTGCTTTCTACTTTGCTTCCTGAAGAGCAATGCTTAAACCTTGACTTGCTACTTAGCACTTCTACTTGCTCGCTTACGACTTTAGACGTTTCTCTGAATATATTTGACTATGAAGAGTTCTCATACTGTAAATCTACAAGCTTTACTTCACCGAATGACAATTCAATTTAAGATTTAATTAGACTGCCTTTAAAAAGGAGCACCACCTGCAGCTGTGTTATTAAGTACACTACCATTTTCTAGTACACACATTTATCTAGTCAACTATATTTTAAGAGAAATAGGGAAACAAATATAAAGAAACACTTTGGCAAACACTTTTTGTAACATTGTTTTTTAAACTCAGGTTGTATATCTACTTTATAGAGTCTTTAAAAGCTATAATGTACATTTAGAAAACTCAAAAAAAATTTGAATCAATTTTAGCTCAATTTTGTAACTTACTATTTATTTCTTTATAATCTCTAACAGTTAAACTAACAACCAACCTGTGGCTGTGAAGCAGCCCTTCTCAAAGGCCATCCTGCAGTTTTTTGGAGTTTTGGGTGATAGGAACACAAAAAAAGGTGCTGTCGTCAAATCAGTTTAAGGAAACATCGTTTCCTTCCCTGAAAGAGTTCTTAAAACTTGATACAAATTTTCAAAAAAGATTGTAGCATAAGCATTTTTCCAACTTCCAGTTTTAAACACTGCGTGTATCCTCCCTCTGCTCTGGAACTGCAAAGCAATCTCAAGCCTTAAATAAGATGTGAGAAAAAGCCACGTGCAGTTTTCTGCAAGTTCCTGAGGGGTTAGGGCCTGCCTGATGGTATGTTAACCGGATAGAGATCTACTGGATCTCTAGTTAGTCCCAGAGTTAAGCTCTGTAGATTTAATCCTTAAACCATAAACCCAAGGGTCCCTATGTGTACATATGTGTAAATTCCAAGAGTAAATGTACATAGTCAGTAGACACAAGGTAACTATTTAAGTAATTTATCCATTGTTGGGGCTGGAGGTTTAGCTCAGAGGCATAAGTGCCTGACTTGCAAGCAGGCAGTCGTGAGTTCAATCCCCGGTACCGATAAAAAGGAAAAAGACCAAAAAAAAAAAAAAAAAAAAAAAATTTATCCATTGTTTAAAGTATTTATTGCATAAAGAAGAAGTAAAAAGCAACCATTTTCTTTTTATAAGCATGGTTGCTATTTTACCTCTTAACTTTGTTTAATTATTAAAGTTCCTTACTCTTATGCGTTTCACCATGAAACTGATATTTCGGATCCCGGAGAAGTCCGTGGTCTGGTAAATTGTATCAATTGCTTTAACATGACTGGATATCTATCAAGTGAAAAAGAGAGCACAATTTATAGGTAATCTTGAAATATGAAAAAGATTATGAACAGTTCCAAAATCTAGAGTTAGTTATGACCTACAACATTCAAATGTCCCCACCATACACTAGACGAAAGAATAGCAAAGAGTAGTAAGCTATGGCCGAGATAGTCTGTGTCTTTTCCAGATTTTCTCTAGTCAAGTGCAAAAACAAAACCCTGCTCTTGCTTTGGTCTTATGAAAGCTGTTCCTCAACCATGCTACAGGCACGGGCCTGGGCTTCACACACAGGGCTTCCTCAGGGTCTGGAAGGTCTTCATTTATCCCGACAGACTGACTCAAACATGCTGGATAAGATCCCCCTGAAAGGAGCGGGAGGGATGAGAGATTGTAACAGCGCTGACCGTGCCCATTACACCTTCCCATCGTCTGACCTCAGCACCCAAACGATGCCTTGGCCAGTCCACTGGTCCACCCGGCTCCCAAGGTGATGGTTTGAATGTTTCTCCAGAGATGCATCCATCTTACACTTGCTGAGTACTCATCTCGCCTTCCAGTCTTTAAATTTCCCCATCTTTATCCATCTCTGTCTTCCTCAAAGTAAGTCTTCTGTCGAGCCACGCTTTTCTTTATTACTGACTCCAAGTCTCAGTGGGTGTTCAAAAACATAGTTTTTCTCAAAGATACTGGTGATGTTCAAGAACATCTATGTCCTCTTACATCTTTTGCTGTTTCTCTCTGAGGCATCTTCCTCTACCTACAGACTTGCTCCTGTGCTCCCTAGTTTCCCGGAGGTCCCCCAAATTCCATGTGTTTTCTAGCTACCATACCCTTTTCTTTCTCCACATGTCTTGAAACTTCACCATCTCCTCTGCTAAACTTCTGCTCATCGGTAATCTTCTAGCAACTGAAAACCAGTTTCTTCTCAAGGATACAACTCCCTGTGCTTTCCCCTGGACCTTGCTTGTTCCTTGGCCAACCCTACATGATCTCCGCTTGCTGTCTCCCACTCCTCCTCACTCCCTTCCCTCCTCACCCGCTCACTAAGCACAGTGTGGTGACCTCCCCTTGGACTCTACCCCGCCCCACTGTAACCGTCCCCTCTGTCCTCTTCCATTCCACATAGAAAGCCAAAGACAAATTTCTCTCAAGCTCCAGTTCCCCGTTTTTCATATCCTAAAGCAATGAGCTCTTGGGCTTTTTTAATTGAGCCAGGGTCTTGTCATGTAGTTCAATCTGGCCTTGAACCCTCTATGTAGTCACTTGGTTTTTACACACGGTTAAAACTAAGCTCATTTCCACCCCCAAAATGAATCCATCATTTACACTGGTGGTACTGCCATGCTCTCAGCTTCAAATCCTTTGGCGCAAAAATGGATCCACTGCCAGGCATAATGGCACATGTCCGAAATTCCAGCACTTGGGAGGCTGAGGCGAGAGGATTGCTGTGAGCTCAAGGCCAGCCTGCACTACATACCAGGATCCTAACTCAAAAAAAACAAAACAAAACAAAAAAACTAGGCTCATTAATCTCTCTTTCAGGGTATCCTCAGAAGTATCTTCCACAGTGTAAACTTTGGTAAGGACTGACAAGACACAAGTACAACTATGAGCCTGAGAAAGTGTGAAACACAAGGAGAACACACACCTGAACTCCATCTTCCTCTACCCAGAAGAAACCCTGGTCAGGACCCCTCGATCCTTCTCCCCCTTGGGACTGCAAATGAAAACCATTTTCAAAGGTGTTCATGCTTCGCTAGTATGCGATCCCCAGTACCACCACCACCGCAGGCCACCACAGGCAGAGCACAATAGCAGATTCCATGCCGCCTTCTCCTTCAGAAACCCCTGCCCATGCATCTCTTCTGAAAGCACTTACTGCATGTATTCTACCACATCACCTGCACTTCTCCCAAGCCTTGTATGCTCATTCACTCCAGTCTTTGAAGGAAAACAGAGTGTAACTCAACAGCGGAAGAGTTGTTGCTGCATAACCACACACACCTGGGCGATCACGGCTTCTCGGGTCCCGTAGTATTTGTAGAAGAGGTGGTCGGTCTGAATATACAGCTGACAAGTATTTCTTTCAGCTAAAGTCGTACGTTTTTTCCTCAGGAGTTCTGGACCATTAGGAGCATGCTCTTCTCGAGGTTTCTACATATCAAAAAGACGGATTCTGGTGAGTATCGTGACTCACTTTATGATCTGATAGTCAAGCACACACACACTGGGCTGGGCGCATACACACACTGCACAGCTTCATACTGTGTGCTGTTACACAGTACCGGTTTTTCAATGCTGTTAGAAATGTCTCTCAGTAGAAGAGAAGCCACTGGGGCTGATGAAGGAGAGGAGCGTGAGAGATGCCCACAGGGCAAGAGAAGGGAGGAGCAAGTCCGGGGTGCACACAAGCACAACTGGGGCTGACAGTCCACACCCATTCCAAAGAACCACTAGTGCTGAGTCTGAAGGGTCCCACACAGAGAACTGACACCCGGGGAGACAGAAATGCTGCATACCCATGAAACTGTGTGCATGGACCCGGCTTTAGTGCTGTACCCCAAAATATATATACACTGCTTTTTTAATTTAAAAAAAATAATCCTTGTAAACATCACCGTTGGTTACATAACATTCTCTACACAGATGACTAAATATATTAAAGCTGGGGGCAGGTATTTGAAAGCCATAGTCCATCTGGAGGGAATGTCCCCCTTAATTTTGGGTTTTCCTTTCGATGATTTCCAGGTTTCTGTCATTAGTTTATAAATGGCTAAAATATTGAGACGCACTTCAAATGCACACGTATGTGTTACAGTCCACAATTACATTACTCTGTACAAAAAGGAGTTCTCTGTAAACCCAGCTATTGTCAAACTTGTGAAAGCAAAATTTTCCACTCGAGAAAAAAAAAATGTGGATATTTTACAATTTGTAAAGTTTTAAATTAAAAAGTCAGTCTTGAACCCCCTGCCATCCACCTGTCTTAGCCTCCCTTGTGCTCAGATTATAAGAGTGCGCCTCCACATATAACTTAAAAAGTCAGCCTTAAAGTCGGGTATAGTGGTGTGGGCCTGGACTCCTCCTCCAAAAAATGTCTCTCTTTAATGAGAAGCAGAGAAATTAACATACAAGTGGTCAAGTCTGGCATCCAGTGGTTCCCGTATTCCACACCTTTTCTGAGACTGTTTTGTTCTTTACAGTACTGGGGATTGAACCCAGAGCCACTGCACTGAGCTACATTCTTATCCCTTTTAAAATGTTTTCTAAAATATGTTTTCCTTTTCTTAAAATTCTAAGACATGACCTCACTGAGTTGTCCAGTTGAGGCTCAAACTTATAGCCCTTCCCAGGTGGGTTTCATTTTAGTCTATTTTAGAAGTAGACCGAACTCTCTCAACATGTGGTTTTTCTATTTCTCCTTTTGGCTTTCCCAACTTTTGCTTTTTGTACTTTGGCATTATAAAGTAACAGACAAAGCCAGGCTGCCTTTCCACGGTGGAGAACTGAACTTCTTACTTGCACAGAAGCTCGGCCTGGCAGCTTCAATCCCACGTTCTGCTTGCTATCACACAGTTCCCACGGGAGTCAGCAGATTTTGTTGTCTTTACCCTTTACTTCCAACCCTTCTAGATCCTTCTATATTAGGCACAGTTTCTATAGACAGATGTTGGTTTTTGTTAAATCCAGTCTAACGATATTTACATTTCAATTGGCATATTTAATTCAATTACTTTTAATTCTTGACAACTTAAATCATAGTTTTATTATTTGTTCTACATTACACTTTCCTTTTTAAATTTCTTCTGTTTGTATTATTCCATTCTTTCCCCTTTATTAACTTTTTTTTTTTTAAGATAGATTCAGTTTTTTTGGTACCAAGGATTGAACTTACGAGCTCGTGCTTGCCAAGTACAGACTTAATGCTGCTGAGCTAAATCCTGGGCCCTAAAATAGATTCTAGATCTACATCCAGATACCTACTGACCAGGCTGGTCTAGAACTCATGAGGCTCAAGCAATCCTTCTACCTCAGCCTCCAGAACAGCTGGGTCTACAGGTACGTACCACCAGCCCAGTTTCCTTATTAGCCTTTTAGTTATTTATTTGCTAACACTTTTAGAAATTAACCTAGTGAAACAACGTAATTCTTACTTAACCAATGTCAAACATAACTCAGAACCTCTGCCTGTTCATAGAAAACGCAATAACTTCAGGGCATCCACTCACTCATTCCATTTTCCTCCCTCCCAGTTCATCTCTCTCCATGCACATCACACTCTATGGGTGCAAACTCTGTAAACTGATACTCTCAATGCGCTGCAGCACACAGGCCAAATTCACTTAGGGTCACCTAGCCTGCGTGCTTCACACGACCCTGCATTAGCAAGCAGCCATCTGAGATGCATGTTTCTCACTGGTGAAAAGCCTCTGTGCGGGGTGCGCCTCCCCTCTGCCGAGCCCTCGCCCTGTGGGGTGTCCTCGTGAACACGCGCCACTGCTTTGGGGGTTTCCACAGCTGTCTTTAAGGTTTTGTCTTTGGACTTAGGGCTTTTGTGATAATGTACTACAGCGGAATTTTTTATGCATGTGTCCTGCCTACATACAGAGCTCATTAAATTTGTTGCTTGGTGTCCCTCTAACATAGTTTGAAAATTCCTGGATTTTGTCTGTCTTTATCTGACTCTCCATTTTTTCTGAGCCAAATATATAATGTTAGACTTCCTCACACTATCTACATCTCTTATGCTCACCTCTGTATTTGCCATCGTTTTGTTTCTAAGTAATCTCTGTGCTATTGTCTTCTGATATACTACGCAGATCTACATCCATTACTTTTGGGGGGGAGGGATCGAACTCAGGGAATTGAACTCAGGACCTTGCACTTGCCAGGCAGGAGCTAATGCCACTGAGGTATATCCCCAGCCCCAAATTCTAGATTTCTGCTGTTAATTTTGCAATTCTAAAATTACACTGGGTTCTTTTGTTACTTATCAGCCTTCCGCTACATTTTGGTTTCAGCTCCTTCTGTTTTCCCATCATGCCTCTGGCTCGTCCACTGACTGGTCACTTGAGCTGAGTACCAGGCACTGCACTGGCCCTCTGCACGTATGGGCCAGTCTGCATCAATGGACTCAACCAGCAACCAATACAGTTTTTTTTTAAAGCCAGCTCTGTGCTAAACATGCACAGATGTTTTCCTCAACACCATTTCCTAAGCTACATGTAACAACTGCACCAGGTATTGTATACACACTGGAGATAATTGACAGCATAGGGAAGACCTCTGCATGTTACACGCAAATACGCTGCCGCTTCAGAGATGGGATTTGACCATCTGGGGCTCTGGTGTCCCCAAGAAACCCTAAGTACACTCCAGAGATGCTGTCTTTCTCCCTTCGCTCTAGAAGCTAGGCCTGGTACAACTCGTAATTGGAACCACCCACCCGATGTAGCCAGGACTGAGGATGACATGTGTGACTTTTTGTTTGGTAGCAAAGGGACTGAACACTCAGGGGCTTTCCATGGAGCTACATCCCCAGCCTTTTTAAAAATTTTTGAGACAAGGTCTCACTAAATTGCCAAACTGTCTAAGGAGGGCTCAAACTTGAAATCCCCCTGTCGTAACCTCCTGGGTATTACAGGAGTGGGCACCACATCTGGCTGAAACCTGAATCCCTGTGAGGAAGGTCAGACACCTTCTGAATCCCCTTTCCTCTGAGCAGCAGCCCTTCCAGCCTCAAGGCAGAGCTGCCCTGTAGGCCCTGATGGTTTCTGTCCCCTCATTGCCACGTGTGTGGCCAGTGCTGCCAGCCTACACCTCAGCCATCCCCAGGGCTGTGCACACCAGGGAGGGAGCTGGCGCCAGGCAGGTTTTCCACCACATATCACGCCCGGCACTACTGCACGGCTCCAGCCTCCTCACCTCCCCAGGGCCATCAAGGCGATGTGTGCGTACACACTCCTGCCTGCAGACACATGCACAGTCATGAACACACGGGAACAGCATTTTCAAACATTTGGATTTTGAGACTAAGTTGGTCTTTATGAGTTGCTCTCCAACCAAACACATTTCTATTTTTTAAACACAATTCTTTTAATCTTATGCATTTTGAGGATTTCTCAAAATTCTTTTAATCTTATGCATTGAGTATTTCTCAAAATTTGTATCATGTGCACTTTACAGTGCTTCCAAATGTTCACATCAGTCTTTTTGTCAAAGATTGTTTTATTCAGCTGGGCGGGGTGGCACATCCCTGTAACTCCAGCACTCAGTTTGAGGCAGGAAAATTGCCCAGAGTTCCAGGTCAGCCTGAACTAAAAGTGAGACTCTGCCTCAAAACAACGAAAAAAAAGTGTCTTATTCCAGATGATTTTCTATCTCAATATGCAAAATATTTTTATTGTCTAATCTCTGTAAAGTGTTTTCCCAAATACTTTATCTACTCTCCTGGTTTTGGTTTTTCATTTTTGCACTGGTGGGGATGGAAACCAAGCCCTATGCATTGAGCTACATCCCAGCTGTGTTTTGCATTTTGAGATGAAACAAGCAGCTTCCCGGGACCCTGGGCTGGGCTCTGGCCTGCTTCCCTCCAGCCTCGCCTCCGGTCCCAGCTTTATCTCAGCTGCAGGTGCAGGCATGTGCCACCACAACTGGCTGCTTTATCATTTTTTTTAAAAACTGAGACAAGAGAGTTTGGTGCATATTCTGACAAGAAGTCAGTTGTCTGACAGATGTGTTGTAAATATTTCCTCAGCCTGCGGCTTGTTTTCACATTTCCTTAACCGTATATTTTGAGATGAAGTTTTTAATCCTGATGAAGTCTAGTCCGTATATTTTTTTGGTAGGGTAGTTTTGTGTCCTAAGAAATTATCTGTTTGTAAGTCATAAAAATTTCTTCCGTATAGTTTTAGCATATAAATCTACTATAATGTTTAGTCAACTTTCCCTTTTACTTAAATTTTCCCTTTTTAATTTTTTTCTTTTAATACTTTGAGTCAATTTTTATAGCAGGTATATAGGGGACACTTTCTTCCTCCACAGGGATTTTCAATTGTTCTAATATTGCATCATAAAGACTATCCTTTCCTTCTTTAAATTACCTTGAGACCTCTGGGAAACCCAAGTAAGCGGTTCTGCCCCACTCATCTATACACATTTACTCTTAGGTCAGGAAGATGCTGTCCTGATTCCTACTGACTTGTTCTTCAGCTTCAGCCTCCTGCCTCATCCTCCTCTCAGCTGCAACCTCTAAGCCTTAACAATCCAAGCAGTGAAAAATCCTCTGGCCTTGTTTGTTTTGCGGGGTTTTCCCCCTTTCTTGAAAACTATTTTGGCTAGTCCAGGTCTTTTACATATCAGTATAATTTTCAGAACCGTTTTTTAACTACTAGATAAATCATTACTAGGATTAATAACTGATTCACTACTACATGTTGTGTCAACTGTAGGTTTTTATTATTGTTTTTAATTTTGTTTTGGGTTTTTTCAGCTATAGAGTTTTTATAGAAAGTTTTAACAACCTAAAGAGGTTTTCTTCTATTTTTAGTTTACCACACGCTGGTGCTGAAACTTGAAAAATGCTTTGTTCACAGTCTTCTGATGTAATTAACAGGGTTTTCCTGCTAACTTGCACTCTCTTGTTGAGTAGCTAGATTACAGGTGTCTACTGCTGCCCACGTGGACCTTATGTTTTTACTGCTTTAATCATCTCAGTTCTTAATCAGTATTTAGTCCATTTATATTTATTGTAATCATTGATATGGTTAGATTTAAACTTACTACCTTGGTATTTCTCTTCTATTTGTCCTATCCACGCTGTGCCATTTTGTGTCTTTTTTCCTACCTTATTTTGGATTAAATGCATATTTTTAAGTATATCTAATTTCCTTTGTTGATTTGTTAACTGTCTACTCCACCTCTATGTTTTTCACTGGTTGCTCAAGAGGAGGGAAATTCTTATAAACATTTTCTTAAAAGTTTTTATTAGGACATATTTGCAGTACTTAATGACTGCATTCTCTGTGGGAACTGGCGCATGTACATAGCACATCTTAAATCTTTTATCAGCCTCTTCTTCTTCCCTCCAGCTCTCCCTCCCTCCTTCTCTTGGTCAACAGTTCCGTCAGTGACCAGACATGATGGAATGCCTATAATCCTAGCACTCTGGGAGGCAGAGGCAGGAGGACTGCATGTTTGAGCCCAGTCTGGGCAACTTAGTAAGACCCTGTCTAAACCATCTTTTAAAATAAAAAGAGCAGGGAATGTATGTCAGTGTGAAGGTCCTTGGTTCAATCCCACCACAAAAGGTCTGATAGAAAATCTTGAGGCTTTAAGGCAACATAGTCCCTGCCACTATCCAATTCACTCTCACAGCTCCAAATCAGCCTGATTAAGGAACCAACAAGTGAATGTGGCTGTGTCCAGCAGGGCTGCACTTAACCATGACACAGGCCTTTGAACACACAGCAATCCTCCTGCTTCAGCCTCCCGAATGCTAGGATTACAGGCATGAGCCACCATGTCCAGTCAGGAATTCTTTTTTACACTTATTTTCACTATATTTCAGATAGTCTGCTGCTAGTATAAAGGCAACTTACTTCTGTACATTAGTGCTATATTCAGCTGCTCAGCTCAGACCCTCCCAACCCAGCTCGACCACCTGAGTGCCACTCCCGCAGCCCACATTACTAATCCCTTTAGTATAAGCCAGCATCACTTCAGCTGAACAACTGCAGCAACGTAAGTTTCTGGGACCCTGGTTAAAGATGCTTTACCTCCCTTTCTACAACTCTAGTCTTTCCTTCTGGTTAGAGAATTCTTTCCATCTCTTCAGGACTAATCTAACTCCTCTTCATTCTTTGAGCTTCTGATTGTTGCCTCAAATACTTCCAAGGCTAGTTAGCTGTTTTTCTGCTCTGTAGAATACTATCCTGTGTGTAACCTTTCCCATCTCTTACTACCCTGAGCTGTTTCTCTTTACCTCCGACTGAACTATGTTGCCTGGGAACAAGTCTTCACTTCTACCTCCACATACTGCCAGAACTCCTACATTATCTATGACATTTGGTGGATCAATACTGTACATACTGCACTCATTTAATGAATGTGTGAGTAAACTCTCATATGATGTTTGCAGTCAACCTGAAATAGAACTGCATGCACCACTTTGTAGACCAAGAAACAGATCTGAATTCAAGATCATGCATGGCTCAAGAAACATTCCACTCTACCACATTCAGAAAGACTATCCAAAATATGGTGATGTTTATCATGAAGAAAAAATGTTTCAACAACTGTAACCTGCCACCTATAATTAAAGAGGAAAAAAGAAAAAGAAAGAAAATTAAATAAAATGGCTAAAAAAATCCTCAAAATCAAAAACTTACTTTTAAAAATCACAAGCACTGAAATTTTTATCAGGGTAAACAACCATTCCTGTTTGTCTAGAGACTTTCAGTGTTAAAACAGATGGATGGTCAGGTGTGTTGGTGCACACCTGTAATCCCAGCTCTGGGAGGTTGAGGCAGGAAGGTCACAAGTTCAAGGCCAGCCTGGGCTACACTGTGACCAAGGCCAGTCTGTACTACGTAGTGAGACCTTGTCTCAAAACACAAGACTAACAAAAGTACAGGTGAACATCAAGGCAAACCAAAGCAAGTTGGTAACTTTAATTTTAATACATATACTTACAGTTATATAAAATACAAAATTCAATTTTAAAAGATCTATGATGAAGCAGATTCGGCAGAGTAGCCTGTGGATGTATAATGTTTTCTGGGTCTCACACACTCACTACTCCAACCTCAGCGCCACTTCTTTCTACTGACAAGTTACCCAGACACGTGAGTGCCTTACCACAGTGGCACAAGCCTTCCAGCAACTCTAGAAGCCACATTCTTCGCTGCACTGACCCATGCCCACATCCCCTCCCGGGATGAAGCGTGCACTCCCCGTGGAGCCTTACCTGCGCAGCTTCTTCCACCCCAGTCATCTGGTACCGCTTCATCCTTTCGAAGACCGAGTGATCCGCGCAGCCGCCCTGCGGCCCATACTTGTGGGGGTAGTCTGGGGTACAAAGAGGAGTCCTGGTTAGGCGCCGCCTGCACGTCACCTGTTACTTCACCCCTGATAGTCAACCGTCCATATCATGAAAGCCACGCGTGTGCGCCGGTGCCGGGGAGAAAGACGCACTACTCTTCCTAAGTTTTTAAAATGTGGCTGCTTCCTCCACCAATACAGCTCACCACTCTCTAGCTATCCGTCCCACGGGTGATTTGTGCATTCTGGAACAGGACAATAATGGTTTTTCATTCGGATGTTCCCAGCCTTCCCCACCTTGGCTACATGGAACATCGCAAGTGTCCAGCATAGCTCGTTCTGTAATTTAGACCTTTTCCTTCAAACGCATGATCCGCGCACAAAGCCCCCTCGCCCTCTAATATATCACAGCCAGAATTCATTCTATGACCACAACTGGCCTCAATGAGAAGTGGGCTAGAAGTGTACGTGTTCGATGGTATGGTAAAAGTGGACTGTTTACCATGAAGTGGACTTACGTTTATTCATGTGCAATCCCTATGAATTCCATAAAAATTAATAACTTGTATTGTGTATTTCCATTGCAACTGAACAGTGATTAATCTATCCTTAATTAGTTCCATTTCTAACTGTTGAATGTAGCTGTCATTTAAATGCTTACTTTAAGCCAGGCTGGTGGTGCATGCCTTTAAACCCAGTGCTCCAGGAGGCTGAGGTAGGACGATCATAGATTCCAGGCCGGCCTGCAGCCATTTAGCAACTAAGTGAGTGTAAGGTCCAAATCGGACCTGACTCCCAGCCCCCAGCCTGCTGGACAGCAGGGGCACTAACTCAGCACCAAGGCTGTTATCGGTGAGCACAGGACATTGTGAAGGAGATGACAAAAGACCAAGAAGTGCGCAGGCCCCAGGACATCTGGAGCCACCCAGAAATTTATACCAGACATTTCAAGAACTTCATCCAATGAGCTGCAAGATGGCCAGAGAACTCTGGCCACAGATGTTCACTAAAATCCTCCCGCCTAACACCCCCTGCCTTCTTCCAATCCCTACAAAAGTGGGACTGTTCCCTGCAGACAGTCTTTCTGCCTCATCTGCCTGCACCCAAGTATTACACCATATGCTTGCTGCTACCACAAATCTGTATCTGTTTGCTCTCCCTGGTTCCTTACAGTGAGACTCTGTTACAGTTTGTGTTTGGACCTCCCCTCAAAGCCTCATGTGACCATGGGTGCATGCACAGGGCTGTGTTGGTGTCCTGGGGTGTGGCCAGGCAGGCCTTTCAAAGGCAGCTGAGTCTAGCATTTGTGATTGGCTCACTGCTAGAATTGGGGGTGTGAGTGCTGCATGGGCCCTGGGGCTGGGAGCCAGCATACCATATAAGGGAAGGAAAGAGTCATGTCTGCCCTTTTGCTCCTGCTCCTGCCACAGCCAACATGTACAGTTACCCCTCAGCCATATCATTCTGCCTTGGTGCCAGTTGAGTATCGATTGAAACCTCAACAAAATGTGAGCTACATAAACTTTTCCTCCTTTAACTTTGGATGTCAGGCATTTTGTCCCAGTAATGAGAGAAAAGTAACCAACCTCTCTATCTCAAAATAAAACACAGAAAAAGGGATAGGGATGTAGGTCAGATGAAGGCACTGTGTTCAATCCCCAGTCCACAAAGTCTATTCCACTTGTACAAAGTTCTACATCTTTTTAATTAAATTCTTCCTTATTTCGTAAATGTATTTTCCAGTAACCACACCAGCAAACAAGTCCAGTCTGGGGTCCACCATCATGCACAGGCTGCCACCAGACCAGGAACAGCCAGACACAAGGTCCTTACAGTGCGTGGGCTGGCAAACAAGAAGTACCAACACCCCACCCCCACCCTAAGTAACAGGCTTATCTGGAGAAACACAGGCTGTGATAATAGCTATCAGGTGAAATGCAATTGGACACCTGTGGTGCTTTGGTGTTTCAGGAACATTGCAGGTCTAAGGCCAGTGGTCTGATCATGGATTCAGAGGACAGCAGTATGCAGGGTGGCATCTGGGGGGATCTCCTTCTGAGGGTTACAGCCATTGTTGATTCCCTATGGTCTTGTTTTGAAGTCCTATATTGTTTCCATTGTTTTGTTGGGTTGGGTTTTATTCTCTTTTGTTTATTTTGATTATGTCAAAACCCGATGGCAGGAGTACCTATTTCAAAAATAGCAAGATATATTATGATAGCAATTTTGGATTTGCTAGAGGCTGGTCGAGTCGTTTAGTGCATTCATTGTTTTGTTTCTGTTTCTATTCTGTTCTGTTTAATTTTTACTATGTGTGAATTTATTTGCACATAGTTTGATGTTATTTTGAAGACATCAAAAGGCATTATAGTTAGTAACTATTGTGATTTTGTAATGTTTTGAAATCCTGTATATTTTATACTGTTCTGTTTCAATCAGTTTTATTCTGTTGTATCCTCTTTAAAATAAATAAAATTTTTAAAATGAAAAAAAAGAATTCAGATGTGTTCTGTACATGCACCAACTCTCCCTGATGAAAGCAATTATTAGTACTGCAACATGTACTAATAACAATATAAATTTAGCAGGGTGTGGTGGCACATGCCTGTAATCCCAGGAACAAGAAGATACCAGTGAGTTCAAGGCCAGCCTGAGATGCATAGTGAGATCCTGTCTCAAAATTAAAAAGAATAAAAATTAAAAAAAAAAAAAAAAACAATGTATGTAATTTGAAAAAAAAAAACCTTCAAGAACAGGACGAGAGGAATCTATCAGAAAATAAAGACACTAAAAAAGATGTAATAAATGCATTTAGACAACTAGAGAAACTTTGTAGATTTTATGTGATTTTATAGATATTATTGAATTAATACTTCTAGGGCTGAAATTATTATGACTATTTGGGAAAACACACACTGGATGAGATCTATATATTTTCAAAAATTTTGCAATGAAATCTCATAATGTCTGTAACTTCCAAAAATGGTTCCATAAAAAGGTATATGGGAGATAGGTACAAAATGCTAAAACCTGGCAAATCTAGTAGGAAGATACATGTGCTCACTGCACAATTATTCTTTTTTTTTTTTTGTAGGTTCAAATTTTTCAAATCAGTTTAGATCTAAAGGATTGTAATAGGTGAGAAACAAGTTCAAATCGTTCTGAAACAGAAAACTAACACTACTACAGTGCTGGTAAGAAAAACCTGATGTTTCACCGGTTGGCATTGGCAAAGTGAAAACATGTACCGTCCAATACAGCTTTACTAAGGTTCAACCAGAAGGCTTGGAAGTTTCTCAGTACAGCGTGCCAAGATTTTCAGTTCTCATCTTTTTTTGGTAGATCTGTGTGGATCCGCTATACTTCTTGTAACCTTATTGGTTCACCACACTTTTGTCCCACCTCACACCCACCTTGTGACTTCCCACTGGATCAGGTCACTTACGACTATACTTCTAAATTTATTAGTTGATTATAGTTTTGTTCTACTTTGAACCCACCTCACCTCATGGCTTTGTTCAATAAAACACCCTTGAGAAGCAGGGTTGGCAAGCTACCCACTACTTTCCAAGAGCTCCAAGCTATGTTTCAAAAAATTTTGCCCTGTCTTCATTCATCTCCAGTGTTCCTAGAATGCGGCCCTCCATTGTAGAGAACAGAGAGTCCTCATTTTGGGCATCTAGCAGGCCGGAGTTACACTACTTCCCTGTTATTACCTGGAGGCCCATACAGCATCCCTATACGATATGTCCCATATCACTGTTACTGACTCACGCTAAGTCTCAGCAAACACGGCACCAAAGGCTCTTGAAATGCCTGCACTCATGTATATCAACATAGAAAACACATGAGATCATCTCATATTTTCAAATTTTTAATTTTTATTCCAGTATGATAAGCAAGTAAATTATAATTCAATTCGTATGCTGTGTTCTTTTTCCTTTATGACTCAATGTATGGTGCCTTTAGATTTTCTGGAAGATAGTCAACATTTAAAGTAGAAAGAATAGGCTAATTTAAGTTCAATGGAAACAACATATATGTAACATCTGATGGAATTAATAGAAGTGACCTGGACACGCTCCTTCAGAGAGCTGTAAGTACTTTTCCCTTATCATGCCAGGTCTGAATCACCTCCATGTCCCTGGCCCCACAGGGTGGCCTCTCTCCCAGGGACACAGCAGAGGTGATCCTCCTCCCGATGAAATGACGACTGCACCTGGAACTGCAAAGGAAAGCCCTTGAAGCCAGTTTTCACAGGAAACATCTCAGGGTCCCTGTAAGTGTACACAAGGCAGGGCGGGGCAGGAATAATCTGTCTGCCAAAACACAGCACTGAGAGTGCAGCTCAATGCAGAGGCCGTGGTAGAGACCCCGTGGAAACCTAGAATGAGTCTTGTGCTGGGGATGGAGTGTGGGAGGGGAATCTGGGGACTGAGCCCCGACATCACACTGAGCTACAGTCGAAGCTGACCTCAAACTCCTATTTCTCCTGCCTCTGGCGCCCTAGCAGCTGCAGTAGAGGTCACAGCCGTGCACCTCCACACCCAGCCCCTCCGTTACATGAAACACTCACAGGTACACACCCAGATTCCCAGCATTTGGGATCACTTCATCTCAACATTCAGCACCCTACTGTGCAGCCACCACCATTTCCTCAGGAGAGCCCTGAATCCCAGTCCTCCTGTTGCACCAAGACCCTGCGCTAATCAGCGCTGCCTACTGAAAAGGTTTTGGCCTAGACAGGACACTGTAGCCGGTAAAGCCAAGGAGCTCTATCTCCCCCACCCCTAGGAATCTACCTCTGGCACCAAACTAGTGCCAATGGGCTACCTGTGCATCCCTAATGCCCCCTCAGGCACCACCCCTAACCTAAGCTACATATAGGCCCCCCACTCCACGAGTTCCACGGAGAGATTGCTGACCCCGGGGTGGAGATGCCACGCCCCAGGGGTTCGGGGGTGTCTCTCCCTGCATTCTCAAAATAAAGATCATTTATATGTCATACTTCTTATCTTTTCAGCCGC